AGTTTGTCTCTTCATAACAAGGTTCTTTCACTACGTGGTTCATTCGGCACAATATTTACAAGTATCACTACCAGGCTATTACAAGCTATTCCGAACAATGAAGTCACTAGTTAAATTTCATTTTTCGGAACAGCTTTTTGACATCCAGATATTGCTGAACCTTCGTAACGCTTTACGTGGAAGAACAATAAGAATTATATGCGAACGGAAGAAATTCACTATAGGAAGTTCTCTGAGGCTGCGTTCATACTTTGCTTCAGCGTCCACCAGCGACCAATAATCCCCCACAAGCATTCCGAGCGTCTAGCAGCGTCAGCGATTAGGAAGGTATGATATCGTTCTAGCGTCTACCAGCGTCCACTAGCGACCAGCAGCGTCTCGAGGGCTAGGGAAGTATAGGTATCGATCTAGCGTCTGCCAGCGTCTGCCAGCGTCCACCAGCGACCAGCAGCAGACTGCTGGTAGAGAGTAAGGCAATAGGAGGGTACCAGCTGTGTGCTACCCTCCTATCGCCCTTCACTCTCCATTACCAGACGCTGCGCTCGCTGGTAGACGCTGGCAGACGCTATATCGACACTTATACTTCCTTAGCCCTCAAGACGCCCTGGTTGCTGGTGGACACTACCGCAAATTATGAGCGCAGCCTTAGTCCTAATCCTTCTAATGGGAACATGGATCTCTTTTAAGGGTAGTGAAATCCTTGTCATGATGGTGCCAAGACTTAGCTAGTCTAGGCTCAAGACAGCTGAGAGGCCACTTAGAGGTCTCCTTGGGCCAATCTTATAACAAGTCTGCTGTAGTGGAAATGAGGTTTCTTGGGGAAAGGAGCCGCGCGTTGGAAAGGGGAGGACCCACTCGTCCAAGCAAGTAGACGGCTTCGCATTAGAGTGATATGAGTTTTGCACGTGTGAACTTTTAAGGCCCCTATCTTACAACCACCCGACTTCTACTCTAGGTTGTTACTTTGGTTATGATGATTTTACCACTGAGATCCTGTTATGAACGCGAAGAACATTTCGAGAAAGTTTTTCTATCTTGACAGACGCAGAGTCCGATCTGAACAATACGCGTTTCAACATACTTGACGTTTTTATATGCCGATGCTTTTCAGAAGGAGAAGGTAGTGTCTGGTAGGAAAAAACCGCACTTCCGACATGCTCTCCTCTGCAGTTGAGTACCGTGGAAATGCAGTCCTGCCCAAGCAACGCGAAATTTAGTGGGGACGAATCTTAAAGCAGTAAAAAGTGTACGGTAGAACCGTAGCTCACCATTCGCTATGAAGATCTTAACATAGTATAGTATTTGGTTGTTGGAGAGGGTACTGCATTTGGTATAGACTATTGAGTTCGGTCTCAAAAAAACGTCTGTGGATTGTCGTGCTTTTCCCGCTTGACGGCAATATTTCGGTGGGATTCCGTAAGACGTTCGTGTGCTCCCCTTCGACAGCACAATTTTAGTAAGATCTAGTGAGACCGAAGATCGGTTTTGGAGGGAGTTTTTGCTAAGGGATCAAAGGAGGAAATTTCAACGGGGGAGGGGCTTATTTAGCAAACTTCGCCGATGTGCCCTGGGCGAAATAGTTAAACATTTTGCTGTTTTCTGGTGAGTAGACTTTAGCCACGTCGAGAATCGCCCCGAAAATTAGTAACAGGGCCAGTTCTCACACGCTTGAGGCGAACTTCGCTGCCTAAGCGTTCGGTCATACCCAATGAATTATCGCAGAACTCAACATCACAGATAAGTCCTA